CCGAAGCGTGATATACATCAAGGTATACATGAATATGCATATCTGATGATTATTTAGTGATATTGCAGTGAACAGATTCCAGATCAGCCTGCTATGAGAAATAAATAAATAAATAAAGTGCATGCCATTTTACCAATATAGTTGTACTGAGATTGTTAGAATGATAATAAAAAATAATGGTGCTCTCTCTCTCTCTCTCTCTCTCTCTCTCTCTCTCTCTCTCTCTCTCTCTCTCTCTCTCTCTCTCTCTCTCTCTCTCTCTCTCTGTGGATAAATAAATAAATAAACAAGTTTTAAAGTTTTAGTTGTAACTTTCATTGTGCTATAATGTAACTTCTACAATGTTATTTATTTTTACAATCAATCTGTCAGATTCCAACGAGTAACTTAGAAATGTTATAATGCAATTCAGAAGGTTAAACATGCACATTTTGAAGATATGAAATGGTATTATTCCAATTCCATACATATCAAATTTTAGAAAGAACTTTAGATGAAATTTTGAATGTATATCTTACATACACTGAAAATGAAAAAATAAAATAATACCGAAAGAAACACAGAATATACTAATAGAAAATGCAAGGCACAGAATTATGGCGGTAACCCCCTCCCTCCATAAAGCACTTCTACAAATTTTGAAATGCAAACATTATGAATATAAAGTTGAGTTTAAAATATAGGAATATTTACTTAAACAGAATCCCTATTATAAATCCATAACCTCTCTTTTTTTGACGAAAATTACTTATTTCTCCTTGAAGTATCCCTAAATGTAATTTTTTTAACAACCCCACCAAAACTGCTTTGCTAGCAAATAAAACATGTGATTTATTAAGTTATTTGCTACTCGTCCTTTTACAATGTCTCGTTTTTGTTCATCTTTTTACGCCAATCAAAATATAGCTTTCATTCTAATCAAAAGTGTGAGACTGAATATAACGTAATTCTTATCTAAGAGAAATGCAACGCTTTATCTAAGAGGCTACAATAACAATGTTGACAATGAATTAAAAAATTCAGCAGAAAGGTATGTCGCCACCTTTCATATCTATTTTATATCTCGGATATCTCCATTTAAGTGTTTTTGTTTGTTGCTGTACGGCACATATACGTAAGTTATATAGTGCTGAGGGTATTTGATTAAGTGCCATGCCCAAGGTCACACCACGATAGCTTACCCAGGCTGGCAAGTTTGTATAACTCGAGCCGGCATCCTTTCGGGTAATATGTCCAGGACGCTAACCATTGAAGTGTGTTGTGTTGTTTGCATTCTAAATGAGGTTCGAATAGAAAATGTTTCCATACATACGCTCAACTAGTTAGGCATATATAAATTCTACATTACAGGCAAGTCATAATACTACTACATAATACTCTCTCTCTCTCTCTCTCTCTCTCTCTCTCTCTCTCTCTCTCTCTCTCTCTCTCTCTCTCTCTCTCTCTCTCTCTCTCTCTCTCCTTTTTTAAAAGTGGCTAAACTTTCTTGCATGTCTCAACAATCTCACGTAGATAGTCACAGTCTATACAATAAACACTTCCTTTCAGTAATCTGACACGCTTCGGAAGATAATCCCTATCACCTTAATCCCTAAAAGCCAATCAGTTGGAACGTTCATTATTCACAACCAATCAGCAACGCCGAGACATAACCTGTGCATGAACCAAATCCTACCTGCACGTTTTCTTGAAGGACAAATTAAAATAAGCTCAACAAAATCTTCAGAGCATATTTAATCTGTAATACATCAAAGCAAGAGGTTATTACTCCGACTTAATGTTTCAATGTCAATAGATTTATTTACTAGAAGTTTTGTCATGTCAGTATTGTCGTTGGTAACATCAAAAACCTTGTCCACTGTTTTGCAATTGAGGACGATGCCGATTTTCGGTGATGACATGACTTCATTTGTTTTACTCTATAAGGAAATTTGATAACCTTTAGGTCATCAGAAAGTTATGGAAAGTTTCTCTCCTAATAATCCATGCTACATCAGCAGCCAGTACTCATCCGTTTTTTTTTTTTTTTTTTTTTTTTGTTGTTTGGTTATTTTTTCTTGTTGTTTTGTTGGGGCTTTTGGGAAGATGTGGTGGTGGTTGTTTTTGTTTTTGCTTTGTTTTAGGTTTTTTTTGTGACAGTTTGAAAATCTTCGTCAATATTGCCATCGTGTTAAGTATTGATCACCACCTTCAAGTACGGAGTATGAATTCTCTACTGACACATTAAACATACGCCATCTGTAAAAATTCCTAGTCAAATAGTATTTCTAGATGAAAAGCATCTTCCATGAACAGTTCTTTACAGCATTAAGAATCATCAAACCCACCACGGCCGTTACCTTTATCAATACGTTCCTTTAAAGATGCAACATAATGTTAAGTTCTGTATGAAAATAATTAATTTCGTGCAAAATTTTTGAATTTTTAAACCAAGTTTCTGCATTTCCAATAAAAGATCGCCTTCCTAGCTATGATAATGGACCGACCAGTCTAATTCCGT